AAATGCAATATTCTTGAGAAGTCAGTGATTGTTTTATTTTCCTCATGGTGTCTCTTCTCAGAACTGAGCCCATGCGTATGTAAAAAACAAAGCACTCAAGAACTGAATTTGGGTGGCCAGGGGAGGAAGAAATTCCTACAGGACAGGAAATCAGATTCTACATTTTTCTCCTATATGCGAGTACAGAGTAGGCTACTTTAAAATTGATGATCAAAGTTTTAGTTATGCAAAAAATAAAATACCGATGCTTTAAAAAAGGAGAGATATCTGCCCACTTAATATAATGAAAACATGAATAATAAGCAGGACCAGAGGGTGTGTATGCATGCACAGGCCTGTTTTGGTGATACGGAGGGTTAGGTTCGAGACCTTGGCAATAGAGGAACTGTCACAATAAAGTGAGTAACATGGATTTTTGGTTTCCCAGTACATATAAAAGTTATGTTCGCACTATACTGTAGTCTATTAACTGTGCAGTGATAGCATTATGCCTAAAAAAAACCTGTACCTGCCTAACTTAAAAATACTTTCCTGCTAAAAAGTACTAACCATCATTTGAGCCATCAGCAAATGGTGATAGATGGATGGGCTGCTCTACACAGGGTCGCCACACGCCTCCAGTCTGTAAAAGCGGAAGTGCAATAAAACAAAGCACAATAAAACAATGTATGTCCACACACACACACACGCATGGGCACGTGCACACATGAATTTCACTCCTCTGTGTTTAGCTTCTATCAGTCTCTGGGCCTAAACTGTTACCCAGGGTCCAACGACTTCAGTACTGTAATTCTTGATGAAATAAGAAAGACTAATCTACTGTTTATGCCTGAGGTTCATTTTGTTCCTCTATTATTTATTTACTAACACAGCCTAAATTCTAAAAAAAAAAAAGACTCCAGAAGTCACAAAAACACTGAGTAGTTAGACAATTCACAAGACATCATTTATTCCAGCATCTAACAAACACTGATGTATACAATAATAGCCTTGAATCACTTAGAATGTAATAGCTAATATTAATTTTTGGTAGGATAATTCAGTTTTGAAGCTGTTTTGATATATTTCATTTGACCCCCACAAATAACTTGGGTAATGACTATAGTAGAAATTTTGGGCTTAAGTAATGTTCCTAATGTCAAATGATCCCATAAATCATGTATGTTGACCCTAATCTAATGATGAGTAAAAACATATAATACATAGTCCAAAAATTTTGAACATAAAAGTATTGAAATCTTTGCAATAGTGAGTATGTAAAAGTAAATGGCTCTAGTTATCCGTAAAAGTTACATATGTGAAACGCATGGTTTCCCCATGCAATTATATCTTAAAAATATGCTATAATTTCTAATGTGCCGATTATTATTTCTTGGTTCCTTTTATTTAATTTTATTTTATTTGTAAAGTTAGGATGTTTGAAATCTCTCTTTTTTCTTAATATAGGCACTTATGGCTATCAACTTCCCTCTGAGAACCGCTTTTGCTCCGCCCCGTTTGCAGTTTATTAATGCTTGCTACAGTCCTGTGGGACTTATGCTGGAGGCCCTGCTGCCTGTCCCAGTGGGTGCTCAGGTGGTGTTTGTATAAGTTGGGGCACTAGATGTGTGGACAAGCTATTTTCAGAGAAATACGAGCAATTTAGTTTCACTGTTGCAGCTAGCAGGAGAGAAGGTTGTGGGTAATGACCACTAGCTGCCCTGGGCTTTGGGGGAATCCCAGTCATCTCTTAGAACTGTGCTAAGTATAAATTGGGGCCTGAAGCTACAGCTTGTAAACTGTGCAATCAGACTCCTTTCCGGGAAAGACTTGGGGGTTGGTGCTCTTGCCTGCACTCTCTGTGCTCAGCCACCAGAGGCATAACCTCTTCAAGTGCTTGGACACGACCCCATTAAGAACTGCTTGCTTGTTTATTGCAGTCCTGTCAGTCTCATGAACACAAGCCCTGTAGGATATGAGAGCCAGGCCATCCAGAGGCCCACCCAGGCTTGTACACAAGCTCCTTCCAGAGAGAGGATGGTGACCTGGTTTTATTGTTGGAGTGAACCTCTTTGATTCCTTCTAAATTAGCTGCTCTCTGTTAAGTGTTGAAGGTCCCTTTTTCATAAGCAATCTGTTTCTATACTGAATTGTGGTGTGAGTTAACAACATAGTATAACATTACTTTTTACTTATTATGAAGGTAGAAAAATTGGGAAATTTATAAATATATTTGTTTGGAAAATAAAAATTACCCATCTAAAGGATAACCATTCTCTACATTTTATGGTATTTTTATTGATTTTTTTCTTCCTACCCAGGCATTTTTTAAAAATGTAACAAGGATGTACTATATGTGCAAATTGTGTATCATTATTATTTTTCTTATTATTCCATAGTTACTTTGCCATGTAATTAACATTTCTTTGAGTATATTTTAAATTGCTCTATGTTTCATATATAGTAAGCTACACAATTTATGTAGCCATACCCATATTATTGGACACTTATGTTATTTCCAATTTTTTTATAAATATAAATAGTACCAGAATGAGTATTGCCCAAATTTATGATGATTCTTTCAGCTAGAGTCCTAGAAGTGGTATGGCTAAGTGCAATAACGCAACATTTTCAGTCTGTTGACATACGTTGCCAATTGCTTTCCAAAGAAATTAACCCACCCACTGTGCAGTATGCTGTGTCACCCAGTGTAGAATTATTTGAGTGGAATTAGTGTTAAAAAGATATGTTGCTGCTTTAATGAGTTACCACAGACTTGGTGTCTAGAATACTACAAATCTGTTATTGCATAGTCTGGAGGTTGGAGATCCTAAAATCAAGGTGTTAGCTGGGCCACGTTTCTTCTGGATGTTCTAGCAGAGAATTGTGTTCTTGCCTTTTCTGGCACGCAGAGGCTGCATGCATTCCTTGGCTGGTGGTCTCTTCCTTCATTAAGGCCAGTTGTGTAGCATCTGCAAACCTTTCTTTCTTTGATCCCTACTTTGATCTGCACAGCTCTTTCTCTCTATCCCTCTTATCATCCTGCCTCCTGCTTCTAAGAGGCCTTGTGATTATGTTGGTTTCACGTTGATAATCCAGGATACTCTTCTCTTCCCAGAATTCTTAACCAAATGACATCTGCAAAGTCTTTGTTGTCATGCAAGCATATTCTCAGGTTCTTAGGATTACAACACAGGTATCCTTGGGAAGCTGATATGCCACCTACCACGGAAGATAAAAGGTAATTAATTTCTATTCTAATATGTAGTTTGCAGGAGAACTGCTAATTTGTGTACTGATCATGCATTGCTAATTCAGAAAAGTTTTCATCAATATTTGTGCATAGTGGAAGAAATAAAGCAGAATAGAATATAGTGTTGATTGAGCCCCTGCAAGGGAATCTGAAATTCAGGGAGGTTATGAATCATCTCCGAAGTCAAAGGTCAGGAAGACAGATGGTCTGCCTAACTTCTGAGCTCATTAACTTTTTTGTTGTTGTTATTTATTTGTTTTTGGTTATATTATCTTCAATTAAAATCTAATGTTGTCTTTATCAAATATCACATTGTATACATTACACTTATACAATGCTATATGAGCTCCAGAAGGAAGCAACCATGTAATATGAAAAATAGAGACACTTATTGAAGAAGATACAAGATACAAGAAACATTGTACATAAGACAATGACACCTCAGTACCTTTCAAAGTAGGCACCTTGAGACCTCACATCGTTCTCCCAATTGCCATCAGCTGTCTTATTTTCTTGAATCTCATAGATGGTCTGAAATCTCTTCCCTTTCAAAGATGATTTTATGTTTGAAAAAAAATTGAAGTCACAGGGTATCAAATCTGGTCTGTAGGGGGGCTGAGTCACCTGGGTGATTTGATGTTTTGTCAAAAACATCTGTATGAGATGTGATGCATGAGCAGGCACATTATTGTGATGAAGCTGCCAATCACTGGTTGCCCATAGCTGTGGCTTTCTGAATCATTGAAATGGTTTCTGCAGAGGACTGTTAAAGTTTAATGCAAAATCTGATGCAGATTTGTTACTCTACTCCCTCAGTCACTTTGATTGTGATAACCACACAGTACACATGCTCACTCAATGGCATCTACCTCCCCCACTGACTAGTACAGTGAAGTCATCATTGTTCACACAAGCACATTACAGTTCACTCTTCTTGACTGCCATGTTACACCAATGATGCACAAACCATTCTCTTATATTAAAAATGGCTGGACTTTTAATGGACAGATCTCATATATCACTTATATCTTAATAAAGGTGGAAAAAACTTTATTGATATTAACACCAAGACCTTTAATGATATTAATACCGAAAGATATAGCAAGCTTCTGGCTTTAAAGAGTTAGTTGCTAAGTCTAAATATCATTGCTGCCATAAAAGTGGCCTATTTTCATGTCAGTAATCTTGGCATAGTCCAAAAATAATTGTGGGAGGGTGTCCAGTCCTGCAGCTTTCCCACAGCAGGGTTTCAGCAGCACCACCAGTGGCCACTGGCGATGATGTATATTTTTGCCTATTTATCTTTAGAAATCAAATATGGAACTTAAAAGATATATACATTTAAATTTCTAGAAGAATTGTATCTTAAAGGAAAGCAAATTTTAGTGGGTTCCATGTGTCAGGAACAAGAGAATATTTTATAGTTTTTGTTTCATAAGCTACTTCTGGAAAGGCTTAAGTCCATGTAAGTCAGCAAGTCCATGTAAGTCAGGAAATCTTACAGAGGTCTTATAAATACAACCAACTCACTTGTTTTCCATCAAAGTATTAAAGACAAAAATTAATAGTTGGTATGGGATCAATACATGGCTTTTCCACCTTCTTTGACGAGGGCTGGCCAGGGGAACCCTGGACAGAAAAAATATGTATTGTTTTGGGGATGGATTATAACTCCCTCCTTACCTCCTTTTGGGAGTGGCTTCTGGTCCTGTGACTGCTTCTTGACCTTTTCCTTCTGCACACAAACACTGATCCAGTGTTGCTCTGGGCTACATGTAGGTTTGTGCAAACTGGACCTATGCTGCCTTTGTCTGGGGCCCCTTACAACGAGCCTCAGACTGGAGGAGATGTGGTCTCCCTCACACCAACCTGCTGCCATCAGTGCACTCACCAGTAATGTGAGTATGGCATGCCCACATTTACTAGTCCTACAGCTGTTTTTTTCTTGGAATATCATAAGCACTTAGGCAACTCCCTGGTTTGGAGCTCCTGTGCTACAGCTGGCCATTACTTTAGCAAGTATGTTTTTGAGAAAACACATGAATATGTCATTAGTGATTTCGATCACATGAAATTAAGTTTTATATCTGACTCTGTGGGCTTGTGATTTGGTATAAGTATGTTTCTTTGCATTAAGCTGTTATTGTTAATATTATTCATACTATTTATATTAATCTTGCTATTATTAGTGATACAAGGGTTTATATTACACTTTGCAAAAAAAAATCCACCTAGTATTCAGTGTATCTGTCTGAAGCTCCAAAAAAAACAACTTCTGCTCTCCTCCCAGGTATGGAAATTATTATCCGGGTTACTAACTATCAAGATGACAACCAAAGATTTAAGAGAAGAGTTGGTGCTTTTCAATGAGTGAGCTTAGGTTGGAGCATGTTATCAATTTACTTGATGCAGTTATCAATAGTTTTATCCACTTGACTTTGTTCAAGTAGTATTCCACGTTGACTTGGTTACAAGTTTTATGGAAATCCTAGAAGGCAGGGAAGAGAGTATTGATCCTATAACGAAGAGAACTAGGTATCTGCTGTGTCAGGAATGTAGGATTACTGTTCTAACTGTAGACTCACAAGTACTTTTGAAAAGAGGTTACAAAGTTGAATCTTAGTTATTTTTGAGGCTATAAAGAAAGGCAAGACACACTACAAGGAGATGTACTTGCTTCTATACTTTGCTAAGAATCACTGAGAAAAGAAATCTACAAAGGTCTTGGATGTGGAGTAGATAGTAATTGGTGGAACAGGGTACACGCCATTAGCAGAGATATTCAGAATTACCCTCTCAGATATTGCTGTCATGCCAGACAGATCATACCATTTCACAAAGAACAACACTATTACAATATTATTTACCACTTTCTTTTTAAAGTATATTTTATTGATTATGTTGTTACAGTTGTAACAACATAATTTTCCCCCTCTGCCCGGTATCCCCCTTCTCTGCAGCAATTCCCCCCTTAGTTCATGTCCATGGGTTGTGCATGCAAGTTCTTTGGCTTCTCTATTTCCCATCCTATCTCAACATCCCCCTGTCTATTTTGTACCTGCCAATTATGCTGATTAATCCCTGCCCCTTTTCCCCCATTCTTCCCCTTTCCCCTCCCCAGCCGATAACCCTCCATATGATCTCCATATTTATGATTTTGTTCCTGTTCTAGTTGTTTGCTTAGGTTGTTTTTCAGATTCAATTGTCGGTAGTTGTGAATTTGTTGTCATTTTACTCTTTATATTTTTTATCTTCTTTTTCTTAGATAAGTCCCTTTAACATTTCATGTAATAATCTCTTGGTGATGATGAATTCCTTTAGCTTTATCTTGTTTGGGAAGCACTTTATCTGCTCTGCCATTCTAAATGATAGCTTTGCTGGATAAAGTAATCTTGGATATAGGTCCTTGCCTTTCATGACTTTGTGCTGCGGTCCGGCTGCAGCTAGGTCCAGGGGTTCCTGAAAGGTGGGTAAGGCGTCGGCGATGGGAGACAGATGACAACACGCCTCAGAGGACTTGATGCTGTTCCGTTTATTGCAAGAACAAGCAGGTTTTTATACTTTCATTTTTAGCAGTGATTGACATTTGCGATTAGGTAAAGCAGAAAAAAATTAATACAAAGGTAACCAGGAAAAGTACAAAAATTCCCATAGATTCAATTATATTAAACAAAGATTATTTTAACCAGGAGAGCCATAAATCAGATAATTAGAAATAGCTGTACGTACAGAGTTTGAATGTCTTATTGTTTATTAAAGTTCTCAGAATTTGTCATGGGGCAAAAGGATACGCTAATTGAATAGAGGTTATAGGAAATTTATTATAAGGTCTTTGTGATGTCTAACTTACCTATTTACCTTTTCTGTCTAAAATATTTATCTATGTACCATGGACTCTAACTCCCTGGTAACTGTTTCTACGTACTTAATTTATAATAGTTAACCAGCTTTTCTTATTTCTTTGCCTGTCTAATTCTACTTGATATATATTCCTATTCAAGGTAAAGGTGGGGCTGTTATTCCAACAACTTTTAGACATTCAGGGGCTATTTCATTAGAGGGGATTTTATTCTCTGGTCAAGAAATTATTTTATACAACTTCATTGGAATTATGCAAATCAATAAACCTGAGATACAGATATCTGACAATCCCACCACCTTTTAATCTCCAAAACAAACATGTAAGGAGAGATAAACAGGAAATTCAGCTACAATAAACCCTTTTTATTCCTTAGTTAATAAACACCAGGGAGGTCTGCTTTGAGCTAGCCTTTCCATGAAATTTAGACTATTATAAGGCACTTGAACTTCATCCTTATTGACCATTCTAATGCCATCCTCATTATATGCTCCTGTATATAGGTAATGGGAGATCTAGAACCTTCTGGATACCATTAGCTCCTTTTGGGGATACCATAATTTGCCAATAATTTAATATGCTACCCAGGGGTATCTTTGGACTGTGGGTAGGGGTCTATATAGGTTTTTCTTGTTTTCTTGAAAGACTCTTTGTATCTATGGGTAAGGAACAGGTGTGGGAAAGTCCGCCAATAATTCAACCTATTGTAACTGATTTATGAATTCTTTTATGGGAACAATCGGGGATAATTTCTTACTCAGGTTTATAAACACCTTATTTAAAACAATCTGGGCATAATTCAATAATCTAGGGAGAATTAGTTGTCCCTTCAGAATTTCCCTCAAAATCAATCATTGACTCTTTTCGAGCCTCTTTCTTCTCAAGGCCTGTTCTTATGGGAATCAGGGTACAAAGTAAGACCATGATTAATATTAGCAAGGAAATTATTAAAAGCAATCCCCAGAAAATTTACCACCCTCCTTTGTATGCCACACTCTCTTCCAGGAAGATGGATTCCTTGAATGCCCTCTTTCCATGTTCAGACCTTGTCAAAAAACATGGTTGGAAGAGGGCGTGGCAACTTTGAATACTTCTTGCCAGGCATTTCTTGCCTGCAAAGTTTCTTTTGAGAAGTCAGCTGACAGTGTTATGGGAACGAACTCCCTTGTAGGTAACTCTCTGCTTTTCTCTTGTTGCTGTTGCAATTCTTCATTTTTAACCTTTGTGGCATTTTAATTATGATGCGTCTTGGTATGGTTCTCTTTGGACCCAACTTGTTTGGGATTGTCTATGGTTCCCAGACTTATATGTCTATTTCCTTCACCAAATTAGGGAAGTTTTCTTTCATTACTTTTTCAAATACATTTTCAATTTCTTGCTCTTCCTCTTCTTTTTCTGGTATCCCTATGATTTGGATGTTGACACTTTTGGAGATGTCCCAGAATGTTCTTACACTCTCCTCATGTTTTTGAGTTCTTGTGTCTTCATTCTATTCTGGTTGAACGTTTATTTCTTCCTATGTCCCAAATCATTGATTTGAATACCGGCTTCCTTCCCTTCATTGTTGGTTTCCTGTGGATTTCTCTTTATTTCACTTTATTTCTTCCCTTATGTTTTTTGCCATACCCACTGATTTTTCTGAACATCCTGGTCACCACTGTTTTGACCACTGTATCTAATAGGTTGGCTATCTCCATTTTGTTTAGTTCTTTTTCTGGTATTTTGTTCATTTCTTTCATTTAAGTCATATTTTTTTGTCTCCTCTTTTTGGCAGCCTTCCAATATTTGTTTCTATATTAGGTAGAGCTGCTTTGACTCCCTATAAAAGCTACCCATCTGACTGATTGTGGTTTCTTTAAATCTGTGGTTGTTGGATATCCATACAGTTTGATTTTCTGACAGTTCTGGGTGTTATTTGTTTTGAGAGTCAGCTGTAATTCTTTTTGTGGTTGTGCAAGAAGGTTAAGTGTGTCTACCTACAGGTCCATTTTTGGGAAGTCTATTTACCACTTTCTTGATGGTATTGTACATGTTGGGATATCCAAAGTGTTTAGGACACTCATGTGCCATTCCCACATTCTTTACTGAAATACAATTTCTAACAATTCAATTTTCCAATTCAAAGTCAACAGCAATTATCCTTGCCTTCACTTTAATATTTTCCTGATATTACACTGGAAATTATTTCAGTTATCATGTTATGTGCTGATAGCATATCTTCATCCCACTTTTTGCTAATTTGTCTACAAAAGGTACCCAATTTCATTAGTCTACCTGTGATGACTGCCTATTCAGTGAGCTACAGCTTGACCCTCTCCTCTTCACCTAATATTCATACCCAACGCCAGTGAGTAAGAGAGGCATGGGGCCAGTAGGCCAAAGAACTGGTACCCTCCCAATACAGGAAACCAGTGGCCAGCACAGCACTCTCCTTTGTGAATATCAAATGAGTTCATGAATCCTAGTGGTGGCATCTGTCATTATGTTGTGGATCACCATTTTGTTAACTTGTACTATAAGTTAAAAGTTAGGATAAGAAAACAGAAAGTGGAGAATGATTTACTGAGAAGTAGAGCTAATAGATTATGATATAGGATCTTGACAATAGATAAAGTAGGCAAATTTAAGATTTATTTAACCTATTTATTGGGATTTTTTTTTCACTAATGACCTGCTATTCCATAAAGGTTCTGAAGTAGCTTAAAAGAGGAAGACAATAAAAATAAAAATATAAATTAAAACAAAAAGTAAAAAATATTGACAAATAGCAAAAGCAGATAAAGGGGAATTTAGGAAATAGAGCAATCTATGTTCATCCTCCTGAAGTCACAGGGAGAGAAGAAAAGTGTTCTTTGGTTCTTGCTACAAAGACTTGCAATGTGTTAATGGGAGCCTGATGCTCTGAGGAGTTTACTGTAATTCACTCTGCTCTCCCTAGTAAGCCAATTTAATCTTTTCTCTAAATAAATATAGCTTTTTGATGGCTCCTTGTTTATTATTCTTTTTACTTTTAATATTGAATTTTCTGTTACTGCAAAT